ATGTATTGGCATATTGTTAGCTAACCAGTTGTGTGTATTTCTTTGTGAAAAATGAGTATCGCGGCGTACTCATTTTCACAAAGCATTTGCATCCCCTCTTGGAAAGATGGAACTTCGAAATAATTGTCTCCATATCTTCGCTAATTAAATTAATCACTGTAATTTAGCTTACACTTATGAATTTAGCCAGCGCTTAAAATGTACAATAATAATTTCACTACCAGACAAACTCCGAACTTTATTCATTTGGCCTACATAATATTTTCATCTTGCTGTACTATACTCCAACATCACTGGCGCATGGTAACAACCAACTGATGCAGACCATTTCCGGTCACACATACTCTCCTTAACACAACACCCCCTAGTTCCGTCACCTCTGGATTATTTTTGGCTTGTAGTTTTATAGTAGTTCACATTTATTATACTACAGTAGTTGTTATTAATTGTTTAATGATTCGTGGATTTATGAACCTATGTTGATACATAGTATAATTATGGTTTATATTTTCATAATACTGTAGTAACATGGTTGTATTTCTTGTTTGAAGACGGATTGGATTTACTGCAGAGTATTGTAGTAGTGGGTTGTTGACTACCCCCTTTTTGTAATTTGGGAAACATTTAAAATTTTGAATAATTCTTATGTAATTGACCAAAAGGGAATTTGTCAGAGTATTTGAACTTGTAACTACTCAGCAGACTACCACACTTTCTCCAGCATAGATGTATCCAGAGGCAACTCCAGTTACGCCCACATCTCAAAAGCTCCGGCTTCATCACCAACAACAGTTGAAGTCACTCAGGTATCACCTCATACACCAGGTGTTCACCAAATCTTTCCAGCTTTACCACCAACTTCTGCTGCAGTTACGCCGTCACCACGTCTTCAACCAAGCAGGGGTCATCAGACTATCCCAGCTCCGACACCTACATCAGTTGCAATTAACCAGTCACCACCTCATCCACCAGGTGTTCACCTAACCTTTCCAGCTTCACCACCAACTTCTGCTGCAGTTACGCAGTCACCACCTCTTCAACTAAGCAGTGGTCATCAGACTATTCCAACTCTGACACCAACATCAGTTGCAATTAACCAGTCACCACCTCATCCACCAGGTGTTCACCATACCTTTCCAGCTTCACCACCAACTTCTGCAGCAGTTACGCAGTCACCAACCCATGAACCAAGCAATGTTCATCAGACTATTCCAGCTCTGAAACCAACATCAGTTGCAATTACCCAGTCACTATCCCGTCCACCAAGTGTTCACCAAACCTCTCCAGCTCCTGCAGTAATGTCGCTAGTTCCAGCCACTTACTCACCATCGGCTACAACAGCTACACTAGCCAATTCAGGCATGATTAGTCCAGCTCCGCTTCCTTCGCTGCAGACTTCTACATGGTCTATACCACAAATCTTGGTGTCGGCAAAGCCCCTTCAGACCTTTTCGCGTAGAGATGCAAATGTGAGGGTAGAGGATTGGGTTAGACCCAGCTAGCAAGCGACGTTGACCCGACGTTGGTTGAAGGTCGAAAAATTACGTTGGCACAAC